ACATTCCCCATTATGGGGGAGGGAAATGCGGAGGGGTAGCCAGGGAAGCCAGGAGACTGAGGTAAAGATGGAGAACATTCCCAACGTGGTGGTAGGGGGCAGCCAGGGAAAAGGCACAGAGTCAGGGAATAGACTAACATGTGCCAGGAGCAACAAGAAGCCCGGTTCTGGGGCAGCTAGGTGGCGCAGTGGATAGAGCACTAGCCCTGGATTCAGGAGGACCTGAGTTCAAATCTGACCTCAGACACATAACACTTACTAGCTATGTGACCCTGGGCAAGTCACTTAACCCCATTGCCTGACCAAAAAAAAAAAACCAAGAAGCCCAGTTCCTCTGAATCATAGGGTACGTGGAGGGGACTAAAAGAATCCTGGAAAGGCATCAAGCTTCCAGAAGAACAAAAGTCCTAATGCCCTCCTATCATCATCCTGCTCCAACAAGGGTAGGGTAATGCTACTGTACAGCCACATGTTGACTTTTTCCCCCCACAATACCTTTTGGACTGGAGTCTATAAATTGCCTCCCCATTGATCTCCAAAATGATTTGGGAAATATCCCATATAACTGCCTGTGGTAAGAGAAAACAAGCAAGGCTGAGAAACCAAGCCAAGGACTGGAAGCCAGTAATCTCTCCAAGGCAGTGCATTTCTTTAGGGAACAAGGTTTCTAGTTTTTCCAGCAATGACAGGCGGAAAGGCCTGGGGAGCTAAAGATGTGCTCATGACAAAGGGACTGCTTTGTGATAAGCAAAAAGAGTAAGAAACAATGAGTAATATAGTCTGGGCAGACAGATAACCAAACTGTTTACCTGGGTCAACCTTAAACAGCATTAAAGTTGGTGTGGTCTTTATGGTGGGCTGAGATTTCTATCAAACTAGGAAAGACCCACTTCCCCCCAAAAATAGGTCCCCTTATCTCCAAAATCATAGATTGACACACTGATAGATATACAGAGACAGAATAACAGATCGATAGATAGATAGATTGATACATATCAGAAAAACAGAAAAATAGACCCATTGATAGATAATAGACCGAGCATTTATTAAGGACTTACTATATGCCAAACACTGTGCTTAGCACTAGGGATAGAAATACAAATGAGTAAGACAATCCCTGCCCTCAAGCAGCTCATACTCTAATGGAAGAAGACAACACAGAGGGAAATGGAAAGGGAGGGGGGGAGCATCTGTTCATGGCAGCATGATGTGGTCATGGCTGGAAAGTGGTATGAAAGCCTAGTTCCAGGCAATACAAGGCAAAAGCTCACTTCTCAGAACCCAGGGTGGTTCCAGAGGCAGAGTCCCAAGTTCCTTTGGGGAGCAAGTAGTGATCCATTCCATTGTGAGTTCCTTGAGGGTGAGAGCTCTCTTTTGCCTCTTTTTGTTTCCCCAGCACTTAGCACAGTGACTGACACACAGTAGGTGCTTAATAAATCTTTATTGACTGATAGTTTGAATAGAGATGGCCTGATATGGAAATAATCAGAAATGACTGTTTATACTGGTTAAAGTATACACTAGAGTTTAAATGAATGTTGGAGTCTTTCTTGAAATAAGAGTTAGCTAGCATTTTAAGAACTGCAAAATGTCTTATTACATATTATCTCATTTTATCGTAACAGCAGTCGTGGGAAATAGGTGATATTATTGTATCCACTTTACAGGTAAAGAAACTGAGGCACCGAGGTGATAGTGACTTGCCCAGGGTCACACAGCTAATAAATGTCTGAGGCTAGATTTGAACTCGGGTCTTTCTGATTCCAGTTCCAGGGCATTATCCACTGCCCCACTTGGCTGCCTCTAAAAGAGGTTTTGATAGGCAGCTGTCTGAGGAGAGCTGAGGAGTGGTTATTTCATAGAATAAGTGAAAATCGGGAAGGTCAGGGATGCTGGGGCAGCTAGGTGGTGCAGTCAATTGAGTGCCTAGGCTGAAGTCAGGAAGACTCGTCTTTCTGAGTTCAAATTCAGTTACAGACACTTACTAGCTGTGTGACCCTGGACAAGTCACCTAACCCCATTTGTCTCAGTTTCCTCATCTATAAAATGACCTGGAGAAGGAAATAGCAAACCAGTATCTTTGCCAGGAAAACCCCAAATGGGGTCACCAAGAGTCAGACACAACTTCAACAACAAGGGATGGGCTGTAAGAGGGGTGCAGAAAGAAGTTATTTCACAAGTTGCTCCAGGGATGACCCTGCTCAATATGATTAAGGCATTTGCAGCTTTTTAATGATTTAATAGTGTTACAAAGAGAGAGAGCTGAGAATTCATTCTATTATAATGAACATAGTATTCTGCAATTCCCTTCAGAAACTGAGAGGAGTACAAAAGCAGGACAGAATAATCTAAGAGGGATATTGCATTAAGTACTGCCTTCTGACTTTCCATAATGACACCAACCCTCAGGCTAAGGAAAAGCTTAAACTCCTTGAATCTAAGGCATTGGGAATAATCTCGGGGTGAGTGAAATGAGGGTCAATAAAAGAATTATCAAGGCAATTATCTAATTACAAGTCACTTAACCTCTCAGTGCCTCAGTTTCCTTATTTCTACATCTTGGGGGTTAGATCTGATGGTCTTTATGGTTCCTTCCAAATTTAATTCTGTGATCCTATGAGTAATGGAAGATAAGTAGAGTCCAGGAGTATAAACAGCCACGCTCCCCCACAAGATTAGAAAGATCATCTATGACATGCCCATGGATTTTTACAACCTAAAAGAAAATGTCATCTAGTTCAATCTTTTCCCTTAATAGATGAAGAAACTGAGGCATAGGCATGCTCAATGGCTTGCCCAACACAACATGGGTAGTAAGTAGTAGTATCCAAATAGGTATCATTTACGGTTTGGGTTTGAATCCCAAGTCTTCCTGACTCCAGTAATCCATGGCACACTACTGACTCAGGAATCTTTCTAATGCCACCATTTAACAACCAACCCCGGTTCCTCTGAATTGTTTAGCTTAATGCTCATGGTGTCTTTACACTTGCTATAGACAAACTCTACTACCACTCTTCCATTAAGTTCACATTCCTGCCATCAAAGTTCTAGAGAAAAAACTGACTTTTTCTCCCTTTGCCTCCTTATTACCCCCCAGTGGGGACTTACTTTTGATTCCACAATTCTATTGTTGTTGTTGTTGTTCTTCTTCTTCTTCTTCATATTGTTATTATTATTACTATTATTATTATTATTATATGTGCTGCCAGAGTGAATGGTTCCACAATTCTTCAGCCTTGAAATTGCCTGGCACTATTTTAGGCATTGGTTTTCATGAGCTGCTCTCTCACTCTCTCAAGATGTGGTAACAGAACCAGATTGAGTAACACACATAGAGCCTATTGTGAATGTACTGTCTTCTATGGTTCTTAATAACCAGTTAACTGGCAAAGGATTTGATCTATTATTTCATTAATTTATACAAGACTTCTGATAAAGGTCCTCTGGGCAAGTAGCACAATGACAATATTCATGGAAAGATCAAAAGAAAATTCAGTTCACACAGTCCCAGATAATAGCAAATGTCCGCTTGGATTAAAGGCAAGCATGATTATCTGGAACTGTATTATCTACCTAGTTGGTTATTCTAATGGTATCTTCAGCTGAACAGAACTGGTAGGAATCTTTTACTGACAAACTCCCTTGAAGTAACTGGGATTTGTTCCTTTTTAAAGTTTTATTGATGTGTTTTGTTTTTACATTACAGACACTTAAAGATTACTCCCACTTCATGAGAGGTTTCTTGTAATACCGTAAAACAGTTAAGTAAAATTAATAATACAGTGATCTTATCTGAAAGTGCAACATTTAGCATCTGTGGCACACACACACACCACCTGTTTTTTAAAAATTGAGCAGAAATCTATTTTCCAAAAGAACAATTTACACTATCTCATCAATATTATAAAAATGAACAATTGTGAGGATTTTTATAAATTGATGAAGAGTGAAGTGAGTAGGACCGGGAGAACAATTTGCATAATGACACTGGAAAAACAAACAACTTTGAAAGCTGTAAATTGTGATCAATGTGATGACCACTCACGATTTCAGAGGACCGATGATGAAACATGCTATCCATTACAGAGGGGTGATGGATTTAGAGTGCAGAATGAGATATCATAAATTTTTGTATACAGCCATTGAGGGAATTTGTTTTGCTTCACTATGCATATTTGTTACAAGGAATATATATTTGTTTGTTGGGTTTTTTTTTTTCAATGAGACGGGAGGGAGAGAAAATAGATTTCTGTTGATTTGTTCCTTTAATCAAATTTCTGTTGAAGCAATATGGCACTGTGGATTGAGTGCTGGACTTACAATCAGAGGCCCTGGCATCTGACACTTCTTGAAACTAGTCATGGGTCCCTAAACCAGTCTTAACCTCTAGGTGCCCCAGGCAATTCCTTAGTTCTCACCTAAATCGTAAATGGATTACAATACTGGTTGCAAACAGGTTTCCATGCTGAAGTAATCTGTAATCCCAAATCCCTTTTCTATCACCCTATAAAATATGCTAGGCATAGCCATGGCCACATCTGGGCATTAATTCAGTGCCTCAATGAGAAATGAAACAAATCACTGTATTGTCATTACAAAGCCCTTTCCCACAGGTTACCTACAAGGGTTTGTGTCCTTGGCCAGACCCACCTTCACAACATGGCGCTAGACTCACATGCAGAATTCTTTGGCCAAGTCCTTTGGGTAAACCAAACAGTCATTTTAGGGTGTCAAGTTATTTTGATATTACCTGTGTTGTTGCCTCTTGATGCCTAGGCATTGGCCTTCTGAGCTACCTAGAAAGAATTTTTCCTTTCTGCTCTTGAAAATTCACAGGTTTTTCTTTCTTTCACCCCTTGGGTCTTATCACCACTGTCTGGCATTGGTGTAGTCAGGATTGACATCTCATCCTTGTTTGTTTTTTTCTTCCAGATTCCTATCATACCGTGCAATCCTCTGCAGGCTGGCCTTCAAGAAACCCCCTCATCTCCAGAAAAATGGGAGTTGATGGTGAAACAGTGGTGCTGAAGAACATGCTCATTGGGGTCAACTTGATCTTGCTGGGTTCTGTCCTGAAGCCCTCAGAGTGTCAGCTGGAAGTGACAACAGAAAGGGTCAGAAGACAGGCGGTGGAGGAGGATGGGGGATTTGTCAACTATAGTGCATCCAGCAAAGAGCACCCCATGGTCTTCAACCATGTATATAACATCAATGTGCCCCTGGACAGCCTGTGTTCCTCTGGTCTGGAGGCTTCAGCAGAGCAGGAAGTGAGTGCAGAAGATGAGAGGATGACAGAATACATGGACCATACCTCGGACAGAGAGAGCCAGGTCACCTTCACCCACAGGATCAACCTTCCCAAACAGGCCTGCAAATGTTCCTCCTCTGCCCAGGTCATGCAGGAACTACTGAGCCGGATTGAAATGCTGGAGAGGGAAGTGTCTGTGCTTCGAGATCAATGCACCTCCAACTGCTGCCAGGAAAATGCAGCCACAGGTAGCATGGGATGCATGAGATCTTGGTAGGGAAAAGCTGGAGATGAATTAGGCAGTAAGGATGAAATCCTGCATTTCTTTGCAGAGCCGGGGGAAAAACGTGTTGTAAGTGTATAGCGCTCTGTTAATACATCTCTAAGATCTAAATATAGGCCATCCCAGGGGATTCTTTTCAGGGAATTTCTACATTGCTTAGTCCATTTGCAATACATTAACCTGATTTTGGGAGGATGAGTCAGGTAATGGTACATTGGTTCAGCAGCGCATCTTCTGTGGCAAGTGGGGAATTTGATGTCTGTCTTCATTCATCTTTGGTGTTCACAGGCTGTTGGATTGATATCTAACCATGTTAACCCGAGGGACTAGAGAATTCAGTCACTGCATTCATTCAATCTCAGGCTTTCTCCCATCTCTTTAAATGAGAGTCATCATGGGCTCAGAGGAGATCTCCATTGTGAAGGGAATTGAAGTCCCCCCCCCACTCCACCTCATTCCATCCTAAAAGGCTCCAAGCTCAGGGGAAATATCTCTCCCCTCACCAACCTACACCATGCAGTCACACTTCTGCCAGTGATGCCTTCTTAACACTGACCCAAGAGACCTTCCTCTCTCAGATGATAAGGGGAATCCAGTTCCTTTCCAAAGTTCACTTTCAGCTATCCTCACACAGAATGGGTCCCTGCCCTGTCCAAGAGAAGCTGCCTCCTCTGGTAATAACAGGGGGAATTATTTTCTTATTTTGGTCCAAGCTTTGATTGCTGCGTGATCGGATAACACAGAAGCTTTCTTGGGGATGAAAGCAGAAAGCAGAAGGGATAAAATTTTAATAGTGTCTGAATGTCACACAAGTCCAGAGGGATTGCAGGCAAGCTCATCTTGAGATTCTATAACTGGCTGGCGATCATTTTCTCAGTAGTGAAATATTTTATGTTTTTTTTTTCTCACCTCATTCTCCCATTCCCAAACTAAGAACCCAAATAAAGAATTTGAATATAGGAAAGAATAAACCCAATCTAAGATGTCTTAATCTTCTTAGTGATCTTCGTTCAGTTCATATTTTTTAAAAAAATGTAATCAGAAAAAATCAGCAAGTATCACTAAATATGTGCAAAAGGTATACTAAGGTGTGGTGGATAGAGGACTAACCTTGGAGTTAGGAAAACTGAGGTTTATGGCGTGCCTCTGACACATTCAGAATTCCTCTTATCATCTGAGAGAGGAGGGTCTCTTGGGTCAGAGTTAAGAAGGCATCACTGGCAGAAGGGAGGTGAGGGGAGATATTTCCCCTGAGCTTGGAGCCTTTTAGGATGGAGGGAGCTGGAGTGGGAGGAGAACTTCAATTCTCTTTTGGAGATCTCTTCTGAAGCTATAAGACCCACAATGAGATTTGCCCACATAGCTGGAATCCTAGGTATAGATTTCACTCCTACTCCCCCCAAGATACAATTCACTATTCTAGGTGCTTGGGATACAAAGACAGAAATGAAATACATACTGCCCTCAAGGAGGTCATAATCTCCTGGGAGAATACAGAGAATACATGTACACATGTAAGCAAATACAATATATTTGGAGCAGGGAGAGAAAGTTAACAACTGGGTAGATCAGGAAAGGTCCCAAGTAGGAGGCAATACATGAGCTGAGCTTTGAAGGAAGCCAGGAATTCTAAGATCCTTAGGAGAAGAGGGAGTAAATGAGGGATAAATGCTCATACTGAAAATTTAACCATCAATCCTCACAGGTGGGTTAAAGAAGGCTCTAGCCTGCTCCGGCTAAGATTCCTCCAGCTCCAAATCTATATCCTTCTAGCTCTGGACCAAGATCATCCTCATCTTCATTGTCTTCATCACAATTCAGACTGATGTGATTAAGTCAACAAACATATGTTAAGTCAAGTACTAGTAAGGTTTATGAATCACTTCTTAAAGCGATAGAGACAGTCAATAAACATTTATTCATCACCTACTATGTGATGATTAGCACAGGTATTGTGCTAAGAACTGGCTAGTTATGTGTTATTGTCCCCATTTTAAAGATTAGGAAACCGAGTCTCAAAAAGGAAAAGTTCCTTAGCTCCCACAGCTAGAAAGCTTCAGAGCTGAAATTCAACTGCCCCAAGCTTCCAATAGCCATAGGTCTTCTAGCCTTAAGTCCAACAGGTTTTCCCATTCATCAGGCTGCCTCCTACAGTGAAAGGCATGTGCTAAGTCAGAGCCACACTACAGCAAGTCATGAGTGCCATATGCAATGGCAGTTATGTAAGGATGGAGAGAGCAGGAGAGTAAAACATAGTTATGAGCACAGCTGCCATCCCCTCCCCTAGAATAGGATGATAATTTACTCTCAGAGGGATAAATGTTGTTATTTGGCCATGGGGTGGGTAGACGCTATTACCTCCACCCCCTCCTGGGTAGCATTTCATTAGAGTAGCCACTATCTCCTTCTGACTTGTTTCCTGATTATTCCAGGTCAACTGGATTATATCCCACACTGCAGTGGCCATGGAAATTTCAGCCTGGAGTCCTGTGGTTGCATCTGCAATGAAGGCTGGTTTGGGAAGAATTGTTCAGAGCCCTATTGCCCTATGGGCTGCTCCAGCCGCGGTGTGTGTGTGGAAGGCCAGTGCGTGTGTGACAGTGACTATAGTGGCGATGACTGCTCAGAGCTCCGTTGCCCGACAGACTGCAGCTCCCGAGGACTCTGTGTGGATGGCGAGTGTGTCTGTGAAGAGGCTTACACAGGAGAAGACTGCAGTGAGCTGAGGTGTCCCGGGGACTGCTCAGGGAAGGGGAGATGCTCCAATGGCACCTGTTTCTGCCAGGAGGGCTACGTTGGGGAAGACTGTGGCCAGCGCCAGTGCCTGAATGCCTGCAGTGGGCGAGGGCACTGCCAGGATGGGCTCTGCTTCTGTGAGGAAGGGTACCAGGGTCCTGACTGCTCAGCAGGTAGGAAGGGGAGATTCAGAGAGGAGGGGCTGGAATGGGAGAGAGGGGTGTGGGCTCACTGAGGTGCCATTTCCAAAAATGATCTTTGTCTGTCTTTGGTAGGGTGATGTAGAATAAAATAGGTGGTTTTCTACCAGAAGAAATTCACAACCAGAGAGAGCTCATTTACTCTCAATGGGAGAAAGTTGGTCACCATATTGACAAAGCAGATCAAACATTGAAAAGGGTAGAAAACAGAATCGGTCAAGGACTATCAAAAACAAAAGACCATCACTTCTGAAACCAGGGAGCAAAGCCAATACTAGTCATAATGATAACATACTAAAACCTTATCATAACTCTATCCTTGGGGGACAAGTAATGGAGATTTTTTTAACAAGGCTCTCCCTAAACATGGGCAGAATAGGCAGCTGCCTACATCATCTGATTTGGGGCATTACCCACCCTCAAGTATCTCTCATGCTATTTTGTCATTCATTGCCCTCAAATCTTCCCAGGGACACCCATTTTGAAATGCAATTAGGAAAAAAAAACTAGTTTTAAACTCTTTTGTATGTGAGCTTAGTGATCATGATCAAGATATCACTAATTAATATAATTATACCCTAACCTGTGAAGTTAAGGTGGGGATGATTTCTTTGGTGGACAGAACTCCCAGTAAAAAAACAAAAACAAACAAAAAAAAAAAAAACCTTCTTTTACCACTGAATATAAGCAACTGTCCTATAATTTCAAAGTCAAAGAGAAGGAACAGTAGATTCCAAAACTGGACATCAAGACCCCTGGAGAGTACAGTTTAACTCAGAGGGCCATCTGATCAGCCAATCAGAGGAAGATAATATGAGGTACATCACACCCTCACTGCAATAGCCAGTCATAGGACTTGTCTCCAACATAACCACATATACCCTTTGCCCAATACACCCCGAGACTCCCCTACTTCATTCCCTTCAAAAGCTGCACAAGCTCCCAGCCTTTTCCTTCTCTTACCCAATTGACCCCTCAGGTAGTTACAATCTAACCCAGATCCCAGCAACTATATAGTGCAACTAGAAATATTTCTCTCCATTCTCTACCTAAACCATACTCGTCAGGAAAAAAAATAATAACTAACAAGATTGTACAGTCAAGAAAATTTGGAGATCCCTGGCCTAAGTCACTGAGAGTTTAAGTGATTTGGTCAAGGTCACCAGAGGTATATAGAACTCAGATCTTTCTGACTCCAAGGCCAACTTTCTTATACTTCATGCTATCTCTTACTGAAAGTTTACATTAAGGAAAGACCAAGTTTAGTTAGAAAAAAAAATATGGAAAAAGTAGCGAGCATACTATTTACTATTTACTAGTTGAGCAATTTACTATTCGACACCCAGTAGAAAAAGACGAAAGAAGAATGTCAAAAGATCATGACTCATGTTTTACCAGATGTTGCCGTGGTGAAGTGGGGGTCACCTAGTATGGTACATGCCTGTAATCCCATAACAGGGAGCCTGAGACTGATAGATCTCTTCCCTTCAAGAGCCCTGAGCTACAGTGGGTTATGCCAATCAGCCATCCACACTGAGTTCAACCTCAATATGGGAAACACATGAGAGCAAAGGGCAGCCAGGTTGCCTAAGCAAAGGGCTAACTGACCCAGGTCAGAAATGGAGTGGGTCAAAGCTCCCATGATTATCAGTAGTGGGACTGACCCATAAGTAGCCTCTGCATTTCCAGCCTGGCAAGATAAGGAGACCCAGTCTTAAAAATATAAAAACACACCCCCCCCACAAAGTTGGGGCCTATCTACCATCAATCATTGATAAATTTATGTGATGATGATGCTCTAATAATACTGTATATCTCAGGACCTAATCTCCAGTTCTGACAAACTGTTGGTGACTTACTGGGGCTGGTCTGATTGTTTCACAGTGAAAAAATTATCTTAATCATTTAGCCAGTGCTCAGCCTCCTCCTATAAAATAACTGATTACTGCTGAGTCATTTTTTTTAACTTTCAAATTTAGATTAAACTACTGACCCCTGCCATCTAGTGCTCAGTCTATAGCGACAGGCTGAGATTGACTTTAGGAGATAAACAGAAAGAAACACTTAACATTCGTATGAGTTGGGGAAAATGGTTGACTTGTGACCCAAAGCTATAACTAGCACAGGGTAAAGGGAACTTTGTCCCAGAACACTGATACCCAGGGAGAAGGGCCCCACTTTATCCCCCCAAAAAATCCTATAGCAACCATCTCAAGGTAGGTTCTCCTTCCTCCTAGATGCACAGAACTACAATCACCACCACCCCAAAACCTCAGGGTCTCATTCCTGTCCACACCACTCACAGCCACCTTCCTTTCTGACCTCCATGGAGCTGGGTCACCCCTCTACCTACAATCAGACTGTCCTCTTCATTACTGCTGTGCCTCTTCCCAACTCCCCACCCCTGAATTTTCTCCAGGTACAATTATGGTTTTGCTGATAACCCCTAACTTAACATAATGGGAAGGATTCTATCTAACATGTCATGAGGAGAGATGCTTGTTCATACCTCAATATAACCAATGACCTTATCCTAGGAAAAAGAATAGTTACAGAGAGAGGTCCCATTCCCTTTTCATCTGTTCCTGTCAATATATATCCTTCCTGAAGGAGGGAAATAGAAATAATAAAAGCAGCAATAGTATATCCTTTAGTCATTCTCCTTACTGATCTCAAAGAGTTAATTTAAAGACAGGATTTTGTGAACCCTAAAATGCCATATAAATGTGAGTTATAATTTTAAGGCTCTACCTAGTTCATTAAGATGTTTTAACTTCAATTATTTCATTTATTATCATGCCTTTGGTTGTTTATTCCCAGTTGAATGAAATATTGATTTAAAAAAAGGATCACATAACCAAACAAATATTGTACCAGTGCTCTCACTAGAACACTACCAGAAGAGGAAAGCCCTTCTGATGAGGAGGGCCTCATCAATCTTGTAACTAAAACCACCAGGCTACCACTAGAAAAGCAGAGACCTAGAGAACAAATCCATTAGGCGATCATGAATCATTCTCCAATCAGAAAGTACCATTTAAGCAAAGCATATTCCAGAGCATTCTAGGCCAGGCTCCAGCCTTTATAGATGTCTAAATTGTGTCGGGATTCTCATGCTTGCAGGCTACCCACAGCCCTTTGGTGGGACCTTGGGACTTGGACAAAGACCTCATTCTCTATTCATTCAAGACTCAGGCTAGGAAGCAAAGCTATACCCTTCTACAGTTATCCCTTCCACATCACGACTTTCCCCACTGTGGTTTCAATATATAGTGGGTTGGCATAAGAAATTAAATTTTGGAGGGAGTTTTGTGGAAGTTGCAGATAACATGTGAAGGCCAGCAGACGACACAGAGCCTATTGCCAAATACTTAACCCAAATTTTACAATAAGGCACTGTAAACACCCCTTAAAAGAAAATGAAAAAAAATCAGACTTCTTCTCTGGTACAAAGGGAGGGCCAAAAAATTTTATGTGGATTTCCCCCCAACCATAATTGTACATAAAAGAATGGCTTTGAGGAAAAGCAAAACAAGCAATTTAATTATTCAGCACCCTAAAATAAAGCTGAAACTATTTTCATCTCTCTTCTACCTTAGGGAAGCTAATGGGGTATAAGTTAGATGAGGAAACCTTCATTCTGCCAATGCAAATGATTTTGGGGGTATGTGTGAGAGTAACCAAGGTTGCAGTGACTATCTCATTTCACTGATGTGAGCTAATAGACAATATCCCCATTAGCTCTGAGTCAAACAATCAACAAATGTTTATTAAGCACTTAATGTATGCCTGGTGCTTCACTAAGCACTGAGTCATATAAAAAAAAAAGCAAAAATAGCCCTTACCCTCAAGGAGCTTCTATTCTAATGGGAGAGAACAGTACATAAAGGGATATTCTCTATTCATTTTAGATTACTGTAAGGGAGCAAAGCTATACCCTTCTACAGAAAGAATGAATTTGAGGGGAAAAAAACCCAAGCAATTTCATTACTAAGGCCCTAAAATAAGGGCATATGTCTACAAATACAGAAAGGATGGAAGGTCCTGACAATGTGAAATCTTCCAGAAAAGAAAGGGAAAAAACCAAAGGCCATTAGACTAATTAAAGTAATAAGCCACCATTTACATTTAGAAGCTGCAGTTGTTCATTATGGCCCTTTGAATACTGATTTTTCATCTTTGGCTTAATCTGTGGGCTACTGGAGTTTGCAAGTCCATCCTAGTTAGGTTCTTAATTCCTTTTTGTGTTTCTTTAAGGGTGCTGGTCTTAATTCCTCATTAGTATAGTACATGAATGCTTCAAGAAACATTAATCTTTAGACAGCAGTTGAGGATGAGTGCGAGGGAGAAACCAGGACTAAAAATTAATAATCACAAAGCAAGTGACCAATAACATCTCTTATTAATTTGAAATATGACCCTTTTAGGATGCATGTGCTGCTGAAAGGGCAAGTAATTTGCCTTTATCAGACCCTCTGGTGGCCTGTAGGCATCACTGAAGCCTCCTCAGTGCTGAACTAAAAAGACCAAGGATAGCTGGACAACAGCTCAAAGTCCAGGGACCAAAGTAGGTGATCAGTGAGTAGTCAGAGTAACCTGTGGCCAAAATTTTCCAGACATAATCACCATCAATTAGTTTTCAGTAAACACCCAAGATGGTTGCACAGCCTTGGAGTAGACACTGTGGAGGTGGGAGTGTAGAATGCAGAGAAGGCGGGAGCCTTGATCTCTACTGGGTTACATTCTTCTTTACCCAAGGCAGACAAGCTTAGATACAGTCAGTAGAAACACTACATGTCATGACAGATATGTCGAGGAGAGAGGAATGAAGTTGGGTCTGGGATAGGGGAAACAATTCCCTGACCTCCTATTGTCTATGTATTGCCTCCTGGCAGTTGCCCCTCCCGAGGACCTGCGTGTAGCCGCAATCAGCGACAGGTCCATTGAGCTGGAATGGGACGGGCCGATGGCAGTGACAGAATATGTGATCTCTTACCAGCCAACGGTCCTGGGAGGTCTTCAGCTCCAGCAACGGGTGCCTGGGGATTGGAGCGCCATCACCATCAAGGAGCTGGAGCCAGGACTTACCTACAACATCAGTGTCTTTGCCGTCATTAGCGACACCCTCAGTCTCCCTGCCATTGCCAAGGTGGCCACTCGTATGTATTGTATTCTGTTCCTCTCCATTTTTCTTTGCAAGGGAACTAATAATTATATTGCTTCAAGAGTTCAATTCATTTATTAAGATCCTTCTCTGTATAGGGAGCTGTGCTAGGCATAGAAGATACCAAGGCACAAATGAAACTATTCCTGACCTGAAGGAGCTTACATCCTAATGGAGGGGGGAATATACAAAAATTAGTAAATATAAGGTAATCTGAAGAAGGAGAGAGCACTAACAATTGGGATCAGAGATGGACTCATGCAAGAGGTGACATCTGAGCTGAGCCTTAAAAGTAAGTGGCTATTCTGAAAAAGCTAGATGAGGACAGCATGAATTCCAGTCATGGGGGACATAACTTGTGCAGAAGCACACAGGTAGAAAATGGGATGTCAACTTTGAGGAACAGATAGTATTCAAGTATATGTAGAGCATAGAGCACATAAAAAGGTATTATATGAAATCACTCTGGAAAAGCAGATTAGACCCCAATTATGGAGGTCAATAAACATTGAATTAAAGAGTTTTACATAGTTAAAAATCATAACTGTAATGTGAATGGGATGAACTCACCCACAAAATGGAAACAGATGGCAAATGGAATTAAAGAGTTTGTACTTAATCCTAAGGGCGGTAGTAAGCTACTGAAGATTTGATAGTGATGGTGAAGGGCAATCAAGCCTCTTAAGAAGGTGATTCTGGCAGCTGTGTGGACGATGGATTGGCATGTTTGTGAGTAGGAAATTGTCATGGTCAAGCTTGCAGAAATAAGGGTAGAATGTTGGTACCATTCCTGTGGCAGACTGAGGCAGAGTAAAGAGATGGCAGTTGAGGAAATTGATGAACTAGAAAGCCTAGAGTGTTAAAAGGGGGAAATCATTATGATACCAAAGTCTCTTGAATATGAAGACAGAGACAGTAGAGAGGAAGACTGAATCAATGGTTGAAGACCTTAAGAAAGGTGGCAGAGTAACTTGAAGGTCAACTGAAGATAGTAATAACAATTTGTATAGTATGATATAGGTGGATGGCAGGAACCTCAAAAGAGCAGAATTTGTTAAGTGATGACAAGCAGAGAGACAGACACAGGAAAGGGGGAGCAAAGAATATGCTACTTCCTCCCTGATATTTGTTTCGGGTGGTGTGAGAGAAGAAATTACCAAAACTAGAGAGGTTAGCTAGGGAGTAGAAATCTTTTCTCCTCCTAATTCTGCATGGATACTTGAAACTATCCCCCTTCTAAGGGAAGGAGTTTCCAGAAGAGAAGACTGATCTTTACAAAGCTCCATTAACATAAAAGTATTTAAGGAGATTTCCAAAATCAGACTGCCTGCTTAGATCATGGAATCCAAGAGTTGAAACGTGCTTTAGCTATCAACAAGCATTTTGTCTTTTATGCACTCAACAAATATTCACTAAGTGCTTAATGTATACAGAAAGCTATGCTAGATGAGGGTACAGATTACCAGAGAGATGGAAAAGATGTGGTCCCCGCCCTCATCCTCATGTAAACAATGGTCTAGTAGAGGATACAATCACCAGTAAAGATATTTCACAATATAGCATGCAAAATGATTGAGAAGAATGCAAAATGTTTGAGAAGGGGTCCAAGCAAGTGAAAGAGGGCATTCTGGGCATCAGGAACAACTCAAAGAAATGTAGAAGCAAGAAAGTTCAGAGTATGTATGCTTAGGGAGCAGAAAGTCCATTTTACCTGCTGCATAATGGAGGGGAATAGTGTGAAATAAGGCTGGAAAGGTAGAGTGTTTCTTGGTTATAGAGAACCAGTCAAAGAAGCTTGAATTTGACTCAGTAAGCAATAAGGAGCCACTGAAGATTTTTTTTAGCAGAGAAAGAAATGTGTCCAGATCACTGAGAAAATTGTTATAGAAGTGACAAGAAGGATAGATATTGAGGGAAGGTGAGAAAGACAGACAGACAGACACAGAGAGAGACAGAGAGAAAGAGAGAGAGAGAGACAGAGAGACAGAAACAGAGACAGAGAGAGACAGAGTCAGAGAGACAGAGAGAGACAGAGACAGAAAGATAATACTGATTAGAAAACTTTTTCAATAGTCAGACAGGTGGTAATGAGGATCTATGGGGGGGCAGTAAAATAAAGAACATGACTTGTATGTGATAAATATTACAGAAGTGGGAATAGATAAGACTTAGTAGTTGATTGGATATGTGAAGTGAGGGAAAGGGAAGAACCAGAAGTAACCCCAAGGTTTCAAGGATGGAGAGATCCTGTTGGCAAGTGGAAATGTAGGTCCGGTGCTTAAAAGAAAGTTCAGCCTTAGGGACAGATATTGGCGAGGTGTCTGAACTGAGGTAGTATCTGAATGTGTGGGAATGAATGAAATTGCCAAAGAAGAGAGTGAAGTGAGTAAAGATTAAGGAGGGACCTTTAAGGAACATTCGCCTTAAAGAATCAGTTAGAGGATAAGGATCTAATGGACCAATTAAAGATGTAGGAGGAAAAGCACGAGATTGTGGTGTCTCTGAGGCCAAGAGAGAAGAGAGAGTCCACCAGGAGGGGGATAGATGATCACATTCAATGTTGCAGAGAGGGCAAAAGGAGACAAGGTCCTCAAGAGCCAGCCCCACCACTAATTACAGAACCATGACATTACTTCATATCTCTGGGCTACAGTTTCTTCATGTGTAAAAGGAAGAGTAATTTCTAGATCGATGGTGTCAAATTCAAATAGAAATGTGGGCCAATAAACTGTGCATAAGGATCCCTGAAGGTCGCATTTAGACTCAGAAAACCACATAGTAATTTGATCTACATTTTATTATTTTTTTTTATTTTGTTAAACATTTCCCAATTATATTTTAATCTTGTTCAGACCACACTAAGGAATGTTGCGTTTGATACATCTAGTCTAGGTGATCTCTTAGGCCCCTTTCAGCTCTGATATTATATCATTTTATCACTCTATGACAGCAAAAGGCCTTTGGATTTGGCAATTGTTAGTTCATTGGTGACCTTTGAGAGAGAAGTTTCAAATGAGTGGGAAAGAGAAGAGGCAGATTGCAAGAGGTTGAGAAAGAGTGGATAATGACAAAGAGAAATCGTTTGGCCGTGAGTTGGCAGAGATGACTTAATAGTTGAATGGGCTAGGAAGCTCAAGGGGTAGAAGATGAAGAAAGCTGAAATTTGTCTTTTTTTCCAGAGATATTCAGCATCATGGGAGCAGAAAAATGAACTAGATGGCAGGCATTACCCAGATATTCCCCCAAAATTTGATGCAATTCAATAAACATTTATTTAGCATCAGCTATGTACAAGGCCCTGTGTTGGGTTCTAGGGCTTCAAAGACAAAATGAAATATGGTCTTTAACTTCAAGGAGTTGATATGCTGCTGAATAGAGATTTGCAGGTCAGGTACAAGAACATCCAAAGGACTTAATTAGGCCTCTGGTGGTAGAGTGGATAGAGCCATGGGCCTGGAATCGTGAAGACCTAAATTCAAATCCAGCCTTAGGCACTTACTAGCTCTGTGATACTGGGTAAGACACTTATCCCTGTCTACCTCAGTTTCCTCAACTGTAAAATGGGAATAATAATAGCACCTACCTCCTAGGGTTCTTGTGAGGATCAAAGGAGATAACACCTGTAAAGAGCTTAGCTCACTGCCAGACACACAGTAGGCACTTGATAAATGCTTATTTCCTCCCCTCCTCTTCCTTTGAGGGTCTGCATTATGTGCCCAGAACTCTTAGGCACTGAAAGAGATAAGTATAAACCGCATGAAGAGTTTATAATCTAGTATTAGAGACAAAGGTAATATTAATTAATCATTCAACCAATAAGCATTTATTAATCACCCACAATGCACCAGACATTGTGTATTGTGTTAAGGATACTAAGAAAAAAAAAAGAAAGGGGGCGATCCTTGCTCTGAGGAGCTCACATTCTTCCAAGAAATATGAAATAGCTATAGGGGGAAAAGAGAAAGTATATAGTTAAATACTGCATACATTATTATACTTTATAAATATAATAGGAGTTCAGAAATAGGAGAAGAGTGGGGATCAAGTAATAATGGAAGGTTTCATGGAGGAGATAGTATTTGAACTGGGATTTGAAGGATATAAAAATTTTGGATAGGCAGAGGGGAAAGAGACTTCCCAGAAGTACAGAATCTCAGCACAGGAAGGGACCCCCACAAGTCAACCCCACAGTTGAACCCATACCTTTACGAGACCCCCTCTATAAATGACCAAAGAGTGGTCATCCAGGCTTAACTTTAGGCCACCTCTCAAGGCAGCCCATTCCATTTTTGCATAGTTGTAAGGCAGAACTTATATCTGCCTCTCTTCATCTCCTACCCATTGGTCTTAGCTCTGCTCTATGGGACCAAGTAGACTTGGAAATGTTACCTGTTCCCCCTGCCTTCAGAAAGAACTAAAAATTGAGCCATTCAGACAGGAGAAAAAAATTACCCCAGACAGAGTTCACAAACAGATTCAATAATTCATTCGGGTGACTAATAACCTTCAATGTTACAATAGAAGACGCCCCCAGATGGAAGCTGACTTTATGTGTACATCTGTCTATAATTATCTTTGTTTGTGTTTGACCTTTTACTAATTCCTCTGGTGCCCAAGAACCAGTTTAAAATCTCCTGCATGAAAACATTACAAAGGTAGGTTACCATCTGCTGTTTTTCCCACCTTGCTCGTGGATGACTCACTTCTCTGGATACCCTGGCAGGACTCCCAAATGTCTCCTCTCTGATCTATAAGTGTATAAAGCGATGAAGTCTCCATCCTTCTCAGGGTTTGTTATGCCAACTCAGGGCATCCCCTTAAGCATGCTCCCAGGTGACAAAGGCAAAATCACATAATCTCCACTGCCCTGGGTTAAGAACCAACCATGCTCCTTCTCAGGCAAGCTGCAAGAGAAGGTACCCAAATGGAGAGGGGAAGATGCTGTCAGTTCTCCTAGGGGAATATCCCAAGAGGCAACAGTCAAAATGGGGGCAAGCACTCTGGAGAACATAGCCAAGTACGGGCTGCCACAGGTCAGGAGGGGTAATTGGAATACCATTCTAAAAAGTACGTTGTCACCTGGGTTAAGCACAGGAAGTGGGAGGGAGGGACAGAGGGGAAGGCTGGAGGGAAACTGAAGAAAGATTGAGAGATACCATGGGAAAAGAGAACGCTAGAGGCCAAAGGAAAAACACACACACACACACACACACACACACACACACACACACAGAAAAAGAGGAGGAATGAAGATAAAGAACCCATGAGAGAGAGAAACAACATGAGGTGAGGAAAAAACACTGGAAAAGGAGAGACAAAACTTGCTTTTTGAAAATATTCTTATTTTTGTTTTAATGTTTACATTTTCCTTTGCAGAAGCTGGCACTGGAATATCCTTCCTTCTTCTTATCTCACTTCTCTGAATAAAACAAAATATTCAGTGTTAAAAAAAAAACATACTATTTCCTAAAAAAAGAAATCACCCAGTCTTACCTGGACTGCTAGTTTGCCTCTGTACCTTTGACCAAGTCACCTCATGTCTTAATGTTCTTGTGCCCACCATGGGGACACACACATGCCACCTGGGCATGTGAGGAAGGCTCTGAAGAGGACTTTGAGAAACCGTTTAGGGCTTCTTTGAGAAAAGGCACTATATAAAAACAAAGAGTTCAGGGGTTAAGTGTGACTTTTTCCTTGAGTGATTGAACTATTTTATAATAGGAAGTATAGGGAAATCATTTGTTAGAGTATCTATTCAATTATTCATATATTAATTAAGCTAAGACCAAAGTCCACGATGAGGAAGGGACTTTTAATTGAGGGTATAGATTCTCTGTCAGTATGGTAACTTAAGATTTCCCTGCACATTCTGTGAGACATATGGGGTGGAGGGCAGTCTGATGAGAAAAGGCTGAAGCTAATGCTCTGTGGCTGATCCATGGGCTCATCAGGGTTACCCATGAAGCCATCACTCACCTTGCTGTATTCCAGATCTCTCCACCCCTCAAGGGCTGCAATTCAAGACTATCACAGAGACTACCGTGGAGGTGCAGTGGGAACCCTTCTCTTTCTCCTTCGATGGGTGGGAGATCAGCTTCATCCCAAAGGTAACAACCATTTGGTTAGACTGCTAGATGCCCTTCTTCCTCGGGCTAACTCTCCACCTGGAATTGGGTGCATAGAATTGCATAGAAGTAGTTGCTGCCTAAAGGCGATAAAACCCAGAGAGGTTAACAGTTAGCATAGCTAGCTAGGCAGAACCTCCAGTAGAATTTGTGTCTCCTTCCTCCTGTTCCAGAGGCATTTCTACCATGCCAAACTGCATTTCTCTTGGTTGAATAAAATATGGTGCTGATGATATATTTACATCTAGTTAGGATGTTTTTGTGGAAGGAATATTGGACTTGGACCCAGGAGACTTGGGCTCTTGTCCACGTTCTGCCACTAAGTATTTGTGTGTCCTTTTTGGAAAGTCATTTAGCCTCTCTGAGCCTCCATTTCCCTTTCTGTAAAATTATAATAATTGTTTTACTACCTACTAAGTAGTACTGCTGCTAGGAAAAAACTTTATAATCCTTAAAATGATATGTAAAGATAAATTCTTGGTAAGTAGCCCCCTCAGCAAAATGAAGGGGACAACAAGGTGATTTCTAGAAACAGCAGACTGGAAGAGGAACCCATTTTGAGACAAAGAGGACCAGATTTAAACTTGTCCCATTGATCAATTGCATGAAATTAATACATATGGTCAACCTAACTGAAAGTAGAAAGAAGAAAACTGGAGACATTCAACAGAGCTGTTGCTTCTCCCCAAAGTTTCAGGATTTAGTGGGGCTAGCAAGTCAGAAAAATAAAATCATCTATTAGAATAGTTCTCTTCTTTAGTGGGCAAGAAATGCTAGAGTCAGTCAGACTCCAGCCCCATCCAGCTGTGCTGTATTCTATATGTATCAGTAACACCAAGGGATACTTAGTGGGAAAGCATAGTTATCTTCCATAATATCATTCTCTAAAGGTTACAGCTACAGCCCTAACATCTTTAGCTTCCTTAATAACCCACTAGAACTCCATCATGAATTTAGCTAAACTCTTCTTGAACCTTTTTATATTTTCTACCTGCACTCTGTAGGGGTAACGAGTTCCATAAGTTTATTGCCCACTGGATAAAATAGTTCTTTTAATAAGCTCCAAGAGGTGCTCTCTAGTTTTTTGGTATTTGGTGAAAAACTCTAGGACCATAGAATTTCAGATTTAGAAGGTACTCTAGTGGTCATCTAGGCTCCCTGTGCCCCCAAATAATGCCCTGCACCCTATTCCCAACAAATGATCACATAGTCTTTTCTTGAAGACTTTCAATGAAGGGGGGAGCCTCCCCACCTGTGTTTAGCCTATCTAGAGTTATAGTCTAGGGTAGAATTATAAGTCTAACCTTAAGAGAATGATGTTGTCCATTATAGTTTTTATAGACATCAATCATATCCCCATTCTCCTCCTCCTCTGTCCAAACTGGGAAGTATTTGCAAAGAAATTACTGTATTTTCACCCCTGTTTGACTCAAAAGCTATTTCTAATGAATAATTGTACATTCTAGCCAAAAATATCCTGGTTTCACCTTTGAGGGCCTTTGAAACTCTTAGAATAATAGAATTTTAGTGCCAGAAAGAACACTAAAGACCACCTAGTACAGTAACCCCCTCATTTTTACAGACCTGAAAACTGAAGCCCAGAGAAGGTAAGGGACTGTCACACAGCTAGTTAGTATCCGTGCCAAGACAAGAATCCAAATCTCCTGACTCCTAGTTCAATGTTCTTTCCACTGGGCAATACTGCCTTTCTCTAAGGTGGGTTGATGACATGTTTACATCATGACCAATAATTAATTTATTATGAAATTTTATTTTATAAGAAATGAATTTTTGAAGGAATTATAGTGACCAAGACTGGCCCAGAAGAGAGTTGAGAAAATCCACCTTCCCCCTTCCTTGCAGAAGTGGGAGATTATAGGTGCACAATATTGAATATGCTATTAGATGTGTTAGGTAATTTTGCCAATCTGCTTTTTTCCCCTTTGTTCACTCTTATTCTTTGCTACAAGAGATAGCTTAGTGGGTGAAAGTGGGGGAGATACATATTGGAAATGGAGAGAATTTTGAAAACAAAAGATAATTTTAAAAATTTAAGGAATGAAGAAGTAAAAAAGCAATAGGCAACTTGGCTGCATGCCATCCTATAGAGGGATGTGAGGAAGTGGTCTTCTGCAAAGAGAGGGAAATTATATCACCCTGCTACTACACAGAGACAAAATTCTGTGCCAGCCTCTGTGTCCAGCCCTAAACAAAAACAAGACAAGATCCAGTGGCCTTAAAGAATAAACATTCTATCATTCACATGATGACCCTTTCATTTTCCCCTTGGAAGACTTAAGTCACTTGAATTTTTTAAAAGTAGTTCTGCAAGTTGCATTAGGAGTGTTGTCTGAGTTCAGTTCTGGGGATGACTGGCTTGAAAAGATGTCAAGTGTACATGGAAGGTGCTAGGGATAACTCTTTGACATGGCAATGCAAGACTCAGACTCTAGTTTTGTATAGCCAAGTGTGTTGAGAGTGGAGTATGGAAGGATGAGTGAGTGTATGTGTGCAGGTTGATTGAGTTGATGCAGAGTGATGTGAGTTGGAGGGGAGAAGATAATGTAATGTTATTGCAAGTCTGTGCGAGCATTTTGTGAAGATATCTGGGTGTGGATGCCCAGAGAGTTGTGAATGAGTCTTGGTGCATATACCCTGAAGGATGGATTTTTCCCCAGACTTAGCCTTCATTTAATTAGCTTGTGAGCCTGTGGAGCCCATTGGGCTCAGTGGAAGTTCACATGTTCCTCTGGTACAGTGAGCTCTGAGAACACACGCAGTTCTAGGTCCCAGTGCCCTCCCATGCAACCATCCCAGCAAGCAAAGAGCAACAAGGAAAGAGCCTTAACAGATACCATATCTGAATGATGGAGTTCTGAGCCCCAAATACTCTCTGCATTAAAAATTACATTGCCTGGGTAAAGACAGTTTGGGAGGCACAACTATAGAAGCTCAGGTTGGGTTAGTAGGTTAGCATTAGTACTCCTCAAACACCAGAGCAAATGGACTGATAAATGGAGAAAGGGGGAACAGGGAGGATGATGTCTCCACTATACCTAGCAAAGTACACAGGAAACAGTTTTTGGACAAAGAGGAACCCCATATATTCTTTTTTGCCTCTTCTATCTTTTCTTCCTCTTCCTTTCCCCTCTAATCTTTGCTCTCACCCTGCTCCCATTTTGTATTAACACATTGGAGTAAATCATGTCGCTAAGCTCTAACTCATCCTGCTGAAGGGGAAACAAGATATTGACAGATTCACATCTGATTGAACTCCAAGAGAAAATCCAGATATAGCAAAATAATAGTTCCTGCTGGTATAAAAAAATGTGAATGTTTTTCTTACTTTGAAACATGTTTGTATAGATGTTCACACACACACACACACACACACACTCAGAACTATCTCCTCTAAATAGCCAAGGGCATGTTCTTCATAATTAAGTATGGAATGCCAGCACAACCTGATGGCTGCTACCCAACATCGCCATTTTGTCTGTGGCAAAGTTCATTCTGTATCATGATTAATTTCCATTGACAAACTCAACTAATTCATGAAGAGGCAAAGAAATATATTTTTAATTGGCAATTCATTTATTAAAACTTCAAACAAGCTGTGGTCAGTTTGTATCACACTCGAGCCTGATGGGAATGGGTACTGGCTCCAGGCACACAACTGTCTACATGACTAGGTTAGAGATTGCCAGACATTGGTCTACCATATTCTGAAGTCATACAAACCTTCTCTCTCAGTGATGTTTCTTTTTCTTTCCTTCTTGCATCTCCCAGAACAACGAAGGGGGAGTGATTGCCCAGCTCCCTAGTGATGTCACATCCTTCAACCAGACAGGGCTAAAGCCAGGGGAGGAATACATCGTTAATGTGGTGGCTCTCAAAGATCAAGCACGGAGTCCCCCAACATCAGCCAGCATCTCAACTCGTAAGTTACTCCTATGCCCTGACTCATCCCTCTGGCAACATAGGAGCTGACCCTAGGAATGTCAGTATAGACCTGGGATGGGGAACCTGCAGCCTCAAGGTCACATGTAGCCTTCTAGGTCCTTGGGTGCAGCCTTTTGACTGAGTCCAAGTTTCACAGAACAAATTCTTTTATTTGTTCTGTGAATTTTGAATTCAGTCAAAAGGCCAAACTTGAGGATCTAGAGGGCCACATGCGGCCTCGAGGCACCACTCCTGGTATAGACTATTCTGTTTCTAATAGGAACCTGGTACCTGCCTAAAGGACTCTGGTGAAATTCCACAGAGACTAATGAAGGTTATAGATTGGGTATAAAGAGTACCCCAGGGTCAAAGGCAGAAAGATTTGGGTTCTGAGTCTTCTCTCTAACATGTAATGGTAATGGAATGTTGGACAAGTCACTTAATTTTTCAGGGCTGCATACAACTCTCTAAAACTACAGGAAACAGAGGAATTGCCCAACTGCAGGGATAGTTTCTGCATGGAAACCTTCCTCTTTGAGTGAAATCAAAGGTCTTGTTCAAAAAAAAATAACAAACAAATGAAAAACTAAGGTCTAGACTTCTTCCCTGACTTGTTGACTAGACTCCATTTCTATCCTGCTCATCCCAAAAAAAACAGGTTGGAAACTAGGAGATAAAAAGATTCTTTTCCAATATTTCCTGGTTCTGTTCTCAGTCACTGAAGAACTTACTTGCTAGTACTTGACCCTCTAGAAAAGGAGGAAATGGGATATGGAGTCAAATTGAACAAGGTACTTGCTATTAGAACCAGCTCAGTGGGGACTTAGTTGACATTGGAGATGAAGTGATATTATTCTCTCACTGGTATAGGTTCATCCTATCCCCATTTGTTATATTGGCAGTTAGATGGGTTGCTCATTTGGCTACTTTAAGTGACTCTTTTCCCACTTGATAAGTGTGGGGAGGAAAAGACACTTACCATGTATGTAGCATTAGCCAAAATTATCTAAGGGTTAAAAATATCCTCTGATGGTAACTATTTTGTCCCCATTTTATAGATAAAGAAAACTGAGACAAAGAGATTAAATAGCTTGTCCAGTTAGAAGCAGAAAATAGAATAAAATCCAGGCTTTCTGCCTCTAGCATTAGAGGCCCTGACCTTTTCAAACACTCATGAAAAATTAGTTGTGCACATTCCTCAGTCTCACAAAGGTGAGCTCACCAAAGGAGTGAAAACCATTGAACTAGATCCACTTTCTGAATTGATACTGAGTCCCTTACCCTTAGAACAAGAACTAACTGGGTCATAAAATGACCTCAGACCAACTATGTATATTAGTGGGTAACCCTTACAATGCACTGCCAAATCAAAGAATTTTTGAGTCCTGAATCTGACATTCATACTTAGTCCAGGGTGTTTCTAGCCCAAAAGGAATCTAGGTAAAAACCCAATACACAAGGAACCTAGTGCATTCCATGGTCTACACCCTAGACACAGAAACATGACAAGATTGGGGCAATGTGGGTTTTGTCCAAAGGCCATTTGTAGTACTCAAGCTGTTACATTAACAACTGAACTTAGCACCTTATTAGGAGCAATCAGGTAAAATAGGCAGATCCAAGTTGCTCATTCTTCCTGACCGCCAACCAGGCTACACCCCAGGTCAACTTGTTTGTGGCTCCACTGTTTCCCACCAACATCCTACTTCCCCAACATTGGATTCAAGGTGCCTGTCCATGAGCTCTAGTGAATTAGAATCTTTGTCTTGAGAACCAAGACCCAGAGTCTACCTTTCTGCACAAGGCACCAAAATGGCTTATTATGGCTTTGCCTAAAGGCACACCTGACCTACTTGAACTTAGTTTTACCACCCACTATGGTAATATTTATAGGTCATTCTTAGTTAATACTCCACAGACTTCATGCCCCAAAGTCCATTCTGATGTTTAGCATTAAAAATGCCTTAGAAGTTGAAGAAAACTATAGACCAAATAACAACAACAAAAAGCATTTATTAAGCACCTACTAAGTGCCAGGCATTGTGCTAAATGTCTGATGTACAAAGAAACCCAAAAGATATTCCCTGTTCTCAAGTAGCTCATTGTCTAATGGGAAGAATTTTCCCTGGCTTCCTTCAAGTCCCAACTAAAGTCAAACCTGCAGGAAGCCTTCCATGATCCCTCTTAATTCCAGTGCCCTCCTTCTGTTGATTTTTTCCTAAATTTATCATATAGATATAAATATAGGTGGTTTGTAGCTAGTTATTTGCAAGCTGTCTTCCTCCATTATATTATGAGTCCAAGAGCAGAGACTGTTTTTTTCTTTCTTTGCATCCTATACCTAGTGCTTACAATAGAACCCTGCATATAATTAATAAATTGATAAGTGCCTACTGAGTGACTGAGAAGATATAAAATAGCTATATGCATTAGAGTCATAAAGACCCTTTCTTTAAAGGAGTTTTAAGACCTTAAAGGATGGGGCCAAATATTGTCTTGGTCTTACTCCTAGGCCACTTTCATGCAAATTCTTTAGCTGTCCTTGGTTTAGAAGTTCCCTAAGATTACTTTTAAAATGGCTATTTCCACTCATTTTAAATTGGCTAAATTGAAAGTCACTGAAAGAGGGAAAGATAGAGAAAGAAAGGGAAAAAAGGAAGAAAGGAAGGAAGAGACAGAAAGGAAAGGAAGGAGGAAAATAGAAAGAAAGAGAAAGAAAGAAAAAGAGAAGAAAAAAGGAAGAGGAAGAAAGAAAGAAAGAAAGAGTAGTGGAGAAATGGGAGGAAGAAATCACCTGTCCAAGTTTCCTTTCTAAGAATTCGGTTGGAGAGGTGAGGTCAAATTGAAGGTCAGTTTCTTTTTCCTGAGTTACAGTGTGACATCACTGCAAGAGACCAGGTCAGGTTCACTTAAGGATCGCCACGTCAAGGCCAGGATCTAAGGGGTACCTACTGAAGAAGTAGCCAACCCTCAACCAACCGGATCTGATGCCTTTAGGAAATGGTTTTTTTTAATTGTTTCCCTCTGCCACGTAACCTGTACTGAGCACCCCCTGCAAAGCACGGAACTGTTATTAGACATTCAGGCAGCCTTTTTTCAATACAAACCATTTTGTGAATGCAAATGACAAGACCACCTGCTGAGAGAGCTCTCTGTGCAACATGATCTCATTCTAATAAGGTTAGTTGTTAAAATAAGGTTTTGTGGATTTAAGGTGTTGAAGGACAAAAGTTTCATGTAATAATTTAAGTCTTAATGCTACCATTTTTCTCCCCAAGGATCTCATGTTTACTGTCACTTTAAAACCCCTGTCACAGTAGTCAGAGTAGGAGCTCTGAAGGCGGAGGACCTGAGTTCAAATCCTTCCTCCAGTACTTGTTACCTGGGTGATCTGGAGACAGCCGTTTAAACTCCAAGGGCCTCTGTTTTCTCATCTATAAAATGAGGGGGTTGGACTGAATGACCTTCGAGGTCCCTTCTGCATCTAAAGCTGTAACTCTATGATCATCCCCTTTGAGGCAGATTGGTGGCCAGTATAGATTTCCCACCCCCTCACCCCCATTCCATAAGTGGAGAAAGTGAGGCAGAAGAGGGCAAAGTAGCTCAAAGTAGTGCCTAAGACATTCACATGACTCTTCAGGGGTTGCAAAGTACTTTACACAGTGCATGTGTGAAGAAAACCTAGATCCCTTACTTCCAGGGCTAGAGATGAATGTGATATTTTTAAAAAATAACCTACATATCAGTGATCAATGGGGCTTCACTTCAGGCAGCACCAGCACAAGCTGCCAATTCCCATTTCAGTCAATGGAAGTTGAAACCACTGCAGAGCTTGTCTCAAACCTTAGAGCACAGGTCAAACCCAGCTTCACAGGGTCTCCAAGACTAAACCTACTTGAAGCTAAGGGACTCAGTTCAGCAGGATGCAAGATATGCAGTCCTTCTGGAAGGGGTGTGCTGGTAAATGTTTACCAGCTCTCTGAAAAAAAATGTATGCATGATATGCTTTTGAGTTTAATCTGCATTCTTAATATCTTGTCCATCACTTTCTTAAATTTAAACTATCAACAAAAAATAAATCAAGCCCTTCTTTGTAGCATTTGCCGATTTCAGACGTCTAAATGCTAACACTGTAATCTGCTCTCCTGAGCCCCATTGGACTGATCTCTAACACACCCCTGCCTATAGGATACATTTCATTCTGTAGCCAACCTAAGTAAATCAGTCTACTTCTGAGCTAGCCTAGGGCAGGTCAAACAATAAATCTCAGATTGATTAGGAAATGCTAGTCTCTTTTCTTCCCACTACCCTTCCTATCCTGCCACCCTCCCCCCACTCAATTCAATCCAACTAGAGCAGAATCCCTGGATCTGGATGACTGATGCTAATCTGGAACCAAGTGGTTTATTTTAGGGTAATTCTACATCAGGATGTGTTCTCCCCAATCTGACCTGGTCTAGATGCACTAAAGGGGTCTTGATAACTGCCCTACATATGTAGGGTGAAGACCAAGGACTTGGAAAAGGTGCTGTATATAGCAGTGATGCCTTTCTGGTTTAATAAACACATTCAGACAAGTGAACAACAGACATAGTCCATACTACACCTTTGGAGTAGTAAAGTGTGATGGAGAAGGACCTCTTTCACTGGCTTCCATTTTCCAGCAGGGCGTATTTCATGTCAGCCGGTGCAAAGATCTATCATAGTCCGTTGCCTTCTTCCTGCTTTTAGTTATCATTACTGCTGTGTGAGTCATACAACTGAGCACGGATATTTACTGGTCAGAGCTAAAGTTCCCCTAGGCAGCCAATCTGAAAATCATGGCTGTTTGGATTGGGCCGGCTGCTTCATAGGTATTTCCTCAAGGCTCTTGGAGATGATGAGAGCTAGGCAGAAGTCCAAACAGGTGTGGACATTGCATGGTCCTTTTGTCTTTACTGCTAGGCAGAGACATAATTGGCTAGCTCAAGGTAACAGATGCCCTTTGCTTCCCAAGGTCAGGACATCCAAAGTAACTGCATAGAGAGCTAGAATCCAAGTCAGAAAGACTTGGGTTAAAATCCTGCTCAAGACACTGACTATTTGTGTGACCCTGGGCAAGTTATTTGACCTTTCTTAGACTCAGTCCCTCCTCTATAAAATGAGGGGATTGGAGTTCACAGCCTCTAAGACTGCTTCTAACTCGAATTCTATGATACTATAAATACAAATATCACAACCTAATAGAAACTAGGCTTAGAGAAAGCTGAGTTCTAGTACCAGGTTAATCACATCTCACTGTAAGATCTCAAGCATGTCACCTAACCCTCTCTGGGCCTTACTTTCCCCATCTGTAAAGTATAGGGAGTAACACCTGCCCTCATTCTACCTACCCCATAGGTAGCATGAGGGTACAAAGAGATAACTGGCAGTAATGTTCTTTTACCAAAAGTGTATTCTCCATCTGTTTTTATTCCATCATTCTGTTTCTCACCTAGTCATTGATGGACCCACACAGATCTTAGTTCGAGATGTCTCAGACACCGTGGCCTTCGTGGAATGGACCCCACCTCGAGCCAAAGTTGATTTCATTCTCCTGAAATACGGGCTAGTGGATGGAGAGGGCGGTAGGACCACCTTCAGGTTGCAGCCTCCTCTGAGTCAGTATTCTGTGCAAGCCTTAAGACCCGGCTCCCACTACGAAGTCTCTGTCAGTGCCATTCGAGGGACCAATGAAAGTACTTCCACCATCACTCACTTCATAACAGGTATGGTGATGGATGGGGAGGAAAATTGAGGGAGAAAGGAAAGTAGGACTGCTTGGGGAACACCTGAAAAAAAATAAAGGAGTTATCAGGCCTTTCCTGAAGTACAGGTGCAACCTTGACCCCAAGAAGCAGAAAGTAAGAGGGATGGCAGAACAATGGATCTAGAGATGGAAGGAACTCCAATGGATATCTAGGCCAAACCCTTCATTGTACAAGGAGATTCAATGATTTGCCCAAGAATATACGGGTAGAAGGCACCAGAGCCAGAATATGAACCCAGATCCTACAAATTCAGTGTCAGTCAATGAATATGAAATACCTACTGTGTTCCAGGCACTGTGCTAAGTGCCAGTGATGAACAAAGAGGTCAAAGACAGTCCTTGCCATCAAGAGTTTCACAATCCAATGGGAAAGATAACATGCAAACAAATATGGTCAAGTATGTACAAATAAGCTATTCACATGATAAACAGGAAATAAGAAAGGGAAGACACTAGAATTAAGAGGGGTTGGGTAAGTAAGTCTTCCTATATTTCCACTTGTGACCCCTTTTTGCCCAAGACATTTTTACACAACCGTGGGTATACAGGCATATATAATAGGTATACAAATCAAACAGAGGTCCTTAGGTCATACTAGCAGGGCAAGGAGCCCTGAATCTTAAAATTGTGGGATTTTGACAGGTCAGTGTCCATCTCAGTATCTCTAAGCTAGACTCATACTGCCATCAAGTGCCACGATACTGAGTTGAATTTTAAAAAAAGCAAACAAAAAAAAAACCTAGCTGATTTACCTCTTCTTAGAAAGGAGAATGAATAGACTCTGGAAGATAGGGTGCTGTTGAACCTGAACTTGGTGGTAGAGTTGGAGTTAGGAACATTTCAGTTCAAATCCTGCCTGAGACACTCACTAGCTCTATGATTTGGGGCAAGTAACTTCTACCTGCCTCAGTTTCTTCATCTATCCAAGGAGACTTAATGGCCTCTGCCGTGAGTTCTAGTTCAAAATCTGGGATCCTAGGACCTCTGCCAAAATCCTGTTCTGATGACTCATGGCGCAAAGACGATGAGTTCTAGGGGGCTATGCCAGCAGAGAGTGAGCCTTCTCAGGCTTTACCCAGCTGGAGACACTTCAGATATGGCAATCAGCTGTGTATATCTGTCTTCCCAGGCTAAGCCTAACTATGTTAAGAAGAGGCTCATTGGCAAAAAGTTGGCTAACAAGGGATGGACTTTTTGAGGGCCAAACAACTCATTAAAACGATCTCTTGGGTGTAGAGGCATTGCCCTGTGGGTTGGTGGAGGCGTTCATCATATGGATAAACCTTTTAGTAATTGTGAAGTACTTTCTGAATATGCTGGGCAGCCCCAGTAGAGGATAGAGAACCCAGGACTTAGCTATGTTTACTAGATACAAAACAACAAATTCTTCCCATTGATCTCCCCTCCCTCATTCCCCTCTCCATCCCATCTCCTAAGACCCATAAGAATGATGTCTAGAGAATAGAACCCAGAATGCTGGATTTGAACTCAGAGAAGCTGCTTTGCTATTCTTACCTCTTGGGCAGGTAATTTTATCTCTCTGGGCCTCATCTTACATCTTTGCTCATCTTATAAACAGGGGGAAGGGTCGAGGTAGATGACCTCTAAAGTCCCTTCCAGCTCTAAATCTATAATTCTATGAATAGATCATGCAAATGACATTTCCTCTCTGATTCTTGAATGTCAGCCTTGGCTCCCACCTGCCTTGTCCCATATGGGCAACCCAAGTCTCATGCTCATTTCTTTATTGCAAGATGACATTTGCTTGGAAGGAGGCTTTTCTGTGTGCTGTTCTCAGATAAGGGGTTGAAGAAGCAATGAAGCAGGAGAGAGCTCTCCACCAAGCAACCACATATAAAAGAAAACTCGTGATGTTTAGCCCAAAAAGATGGGGATGGGATTGGCTGGGGGCCCAGGCAAATTCCAATCAGGAGCAATTACATTCTGCTACCTAGAAACTCTTCCGGCAGCCTCCATTCAACACAGCATGGCTTTCTGCTGCCAGTTACACTGTGGACTGGCAGCTGTTAAGCATCTGCTGCTTCATTCCCTCTGCAAGGCCATTCTCCCACTCCTGGAGGGGGTCATGTGGAGAGGAAGGGCAGGACAGTGAGGCGAGGAGCCATTCTGTGGACAGGCAGCATCACAAGGCCTCTGGTTAGTTAGCAGGAGCCAGTCATGTTAAGAGGAGGTAAGGGCCAAGAGCCCTCAGTCATTTCATCGTTCCATTTAAATTCAGATTAGGCAGAGTGCTTTCCCAGGTGATGCTTTCAATGCCCGAGGACAACATCTGTGTAGGCAGTTAAAGCAGAGGCTTTGGGTTCTAGGAGTAACATTGGATCTAGCGGGACCTTAAGAGCTATTGTTTAGAAGGAAAGAGTCCTAGTAGAAGAATGAGTCCCTTCTGTGTGTGTGTGTGTGTGTGTGTGTGTGTGTGTGTGAGAAAGAGAGACAGACAGACAGAGACAGAGACAGAGACACAGAGATAGAGAGAGACAGGCAAAGAGAGAAACAGGGAGACAGACAGAGAGATAGAGACAGACTGAAGGAGATAGACAAAGGGAGAGAAAGACAGAGACAGAAAGAGATAGTCAGAGAGAGATAGGGACAGAGATAAAGTCACACTAAAGTCAGCCAGGTGGTATAGTGGATACAGCATAAGACCTGATCTCAAAAACACCTGAGTTCAAATCCTGCCTCAAGCACTTACTGGCTATGTTACCCTCAGCAAGTCATTTAACTGAGATACATCTCAGTTTCATCTGTAAAATGTGGATTGTCACCTAACTCACAGGGTTGTTGGGAGGATCAAATAAGTAAATATGTGAGAAGCATTTTGCAAACATTGAAGTGTTATATAAACATTGCTATTGCTTTGTACAATTTCTATATTGTATTATTTTATCACCAAACTCAAAATCATATCATCATCATTATTATTAGTATTATCGGAATACCACCTCTTCCAGTGATAACTGATGCCTATAGACTGTAAATGATGGTCATGATTTTGCCCTTGGACACTCATTTGCCAGGTACCTTCATTATAAAGAAGAAGGTTTCATTTCTGCCTGTGAAGAATAATTTTAAAATAAATTTTACTGACATCTTTTGTTTTCTACCTGTTCAGAATTTTCCATAACATCCTTCCTCCTCTTCCCTCTTAAGAGCCATCTCATATAATAGATAATTCTTTTTAAGGAAAAAGAGGAAGAGAATCAACAAAATTAATTGATACATCCAAAAAGTATCAAGTGTGAGTACCACCTCCATGGACTTTCCATCTCTGCAAAGAAATAGTGAGGAGGTTTCTTCTCATTTCTCTTCTTGGAGGCCATGCTTGTTCATTTTTATTTTTCAACATTCACTTTTGATTGTTTTGAAGTGGTTCTTTCTATTTACACTGTTCTTTTTTCTTTTAATATTTTATTTTCCATTTATGTGTAAAAACAATTTTAACCTTCATTTTTTTTACAATTTTGAGTTCCAAATTCTCTCCCACCCTGCCTCTATGCTCCCCTCACTGAGAAGGCAAGCAATTCAATAAAGGTTATACATGTGTAGTCATGAAAAACATATTTCCATATTAGTCATGTTGTGAAAGAAAATATAGACCAAAAGAAAACCCCAAGAAAAATAAAGTTAAAAAAAGTATGCTTTGATCTTCATTGGGATTCTATCAGTTCTTTCTCTGAATATAAATAGCATTTTTCATCATAAGTCCTTCAGAATTATCTTGAATCTTTGTATTGCTGGGAATAGCTAAGTCATTTCCAGTTGATTATTGTGCCATATTGCTGTCACTGTGTACAATGTTCCACTGGTTCTGCTCACTTCACTTTGCATCAGTTCATGTAAGTCTTTCTAGGTTTTCCTGAAAGCATCCTGCTTATTTCTAGTATTACATCACAGTCATATACCACAATTTGTTCAGCCGTCCCCTAATTGATGGGCATTCTATCAATTTCCTATTCTTTGCCAACATAAAAAGAACTGCTATAAATATATTTGGCCCTTCTTCTTTTATCTCTTTGGGATACAGACCCTGTAGTCCTATTGCTGGGTGAAGAGCATATACTGTTTTATAGCCCTTTAGGCATAATTCCAAATTGCTCTCCAGAATGGTTGAATCAGTTCACAATTCCATCTATTTACATTGTTGCAGTTATTGTGTATATTGTTGTCTTGACTCTGAGTACTTCATTTTGCATCAGTTGATTCAAGTCTTTCCATGCTTCTCTATGTTCCTAATATTTGTCATTTCTTACAACATAGTAATATTCCATTATATTCACTTAACTTCAGTTTGTTTAGCCATTCTATCAGGTTATTTTTTTCAAGGCTTCTCACTTTAAGGTACCAAACACAAATCCATATTAGAGATGGAATAATAATTAGCATTTATATAGCACTTGAAGGTTTGCAAAGCATTTTCACATATTTCATTTGATATGAAGGGGCTTTAAGAAATCACCTCTGCCAAATTACCTCTTCATAGCTATATCTCCTCTACTATGTCATAGGCTCATTGATTTAAAGTGGGAAGAGGATTGTAGAGGCAGGAGTGAGTTGGTGATTGTTTAATCACCAAAACCAGAGTTTGGTTTAACAACCAAAGAGTTTGGGGCTCTCCAAAACCACTCCACACACTTTAGTTTAATCTGCATTACAAAATATTTTCTTGATCATTTTCTTATGTCTTGCCAGTCAACATAATAAGTCAAGTCCCAATATATATGTTTGTCAATTTCTGTGATGTAAATGCTCACACTGAAAATTTAACAACCGACTCTGGAGAGCAAGTTAGAGCTGGTATCAGCACATCTCTGCTTAGAAGTAATCTCTTCCAACACTCCTTTAAAGAGAAGGAAAATGAGTCTCAGAAAGATGAAGTGGCTTTGTTCTTAAATAACAAGCCATGGAATGAAGACTCAAACCCTCATCCTCTGAGCCCAGATCTGGTAGTCTCTTCCTTGTAACATCTCTGAGAAGCAATCAACAAACTTTTTTTTAAGGGTTAAGGGTTAAGTAACTTGCCAAGGGTCACACAGCTAGTAAGTGTGAAATGTTTGGTCTGAGACCAGATTTGAACTCAGGTCCTCCTGACTTCAAGGCCAATATTCTATCTGCTGCAACACCTAGCTGCCCCCAAGCACAGAGATATAATCCCCGCCCTCAATGAGTTTACAAGACTTCAGGGAAGGAAGTTCTTACACTACTTCCTGAGGCAGCCTAAATGGATATTTTGGATAAGCTCTCATTGTTAGGACATTTCATTTTTTTTTCTTTCTGCCTCTCTAGCTTCTCCACAACTTCTACCCATTAATCATGGTTCTCTCCTCTAGGGCCAGCAAAACAAACCTAATCTCTCTTTCACATGGTAACCCATCAAATATTGAAAGAAAGCTATCAAGTCCTCTTTCTAATCTCCCTTGCAGGCTAATCATCACCACTCCTTTTGTCTGTATGATAGGGTCTATGGTTCTCTCACCTCTTGGCTGCCCTTCTCCAGGCTGGCTCCAGTCCTGAAAAGGGGTTCCCAAAACCACATATAGAACTCCAGATATGACCAAAAGGCCATAGCCCCATGGAAACATAAAATGATGTTACTATGGTTGTTTTGCTGTTTTGCAGAAATCGATGCCCCCAAGAACTTACGGGTGGGCTCCCGTTCAGCAACCAGCCTCGACCTCGAATGGGACAACAGTGAAGCTGAGGTTCAGGAGTACAAGGTGGTATACAGCACCTTGGCAGGGGAGCAGTACCATGAGCTGATGGCTCTTAAGAACTCCGGCCCTACCACCAGAGCCACCCTCACCAGTGAGTAATGTCTTCCCTGCCTCTGAAACTCTTCACTCCCTAGTGACATCACTGGGCTCTATGTTGGTCATTGGCTGCCCAAAGGTTCCCTAAAATTAGCTAGCTCTTCCTGTGTAGAGCATGCATTCAGGTCAACCCAGGGCTTTCAATGTTTTCAAAGGATGAGTAAGATTAATGCCAGGATTTATATGAGCTTATTGTATAATTTGCTCATTTGATTGGGAACAAGTCATACCTCTCAGAAGATGTATCCATTAGTATTGGTGCTGGAGGCGTTGTTTTGTTGTTCTTTTTTTTTTCCATCAATACATTTCCTATCCCATTTGGGGGGCATTTTTGTGTATGGTGACAATTGCTAAGTTTACTTACTCTCTTTTCACAGTATTTGTTGGGGATGGAGGATGGGCAAGAGAGTAATTGGTGTGGTGGATAGGGAATGAAAAGCTGGGTAAGAGGGTTATAAACAATGGAAAGTGTATACAGATGATTATGGCATAGATTTAGAGCTGGAAAGGACCTCAAAGAGCTAGTCCAACTAGTCCATATAGTCCAACCCCTTCATTTCACAAATGAGGAAACTTGGACCCAGGGAGGTTAAGTCATTTGCTTAAAGACACACAGGTAGTATGTGTCAGAAGTGGAATTTGAATACAGATACCCTGACTTCAGAGTTGGTATTCTTTTCACTCTACTGTGGTTCCTAGATCCTCTCTCATCTCACGTGTCTTACTGTGACGAGTAAGAAAGCCAGGACTGCTGAACTGTGGGGACAACAAAGCAGTAGCTATGAGTGATAGCCCTTAGGACAACCCTTGTCTTTCTCTCCACCTCCCCCCACCCTCAGCCATCTTTTAAAGGCAAATAGATGGCAGCTGGGTCTAGACTCAGGAAGACCTGAGTTCAAACGTAACCTAAGACATTTACTAACTGAGACCCTGGGCAAGTCACTTAACCTCTGTTTGCCTCAGTTTCCTCAACTGTAAAATGAGGATAACAGCACCTCACCTATCTTATAAGGTTGTTGTGAGGACAAAGTACCTGGCACATGGTAGGCACCATATAAATGCTTATTTCCTTTCCTTTCCCCACTCCCACCACTATCCCCCTCCCATTGCTTGAAAACCGCAGACAAAATCAAAGAGAATCCTAATCTCTGTATTGGTGTGTGTAAGTCTAGCCTTCCTTAGGACTGTTGCTAAGTGACTCCATTGAAAGGAGTTAAAAGCCAGGGAAGAATATTTTATCATGGCCCCAGGTGTCTTTTGTTTGTGGCTTTCCTCATGCATTTCTGTGTTACTCTCCAATGTATATATGACTAAGGGAGTCTCCTGTCAGGATCTACTACAAACTGCTTAGGATTATAGGCACAGAAAACAGAAGGGCTCAATAGTCAATCTGTGTCACCAAGTCCATGCCATAGTACTCCTGATAACACCCACTTAGCCAGGGAATCTGTGCCTTTTTGTGTGTCTTGGATCTCTGTGGTAGTCTGGTGAAGCCTATGGACCTCTTCTCAAAAGAATGTTTTTAAATGCATAAAATAAAATATATAGAATTACAATGGAAACCAAATGTCAGTGCAAATAAGGGTGTAGGGTTTTGTTTTGTTTCCCTTTCCAAATTCATAGATCCACTAAAGATGCCTTGGGGGGGCCTTGGACCCCAGATGAAGAAGCTCTACTCTAACTCATTCCTTATTCTTTCAGGAATATTTGTATCAGAGGTTGTGATAATTTTAACACTCCCCGATAAGTGCCTGTGTAGCCTAGTCTAGTGCCCACCCTGATGTTGCAGGAAAAAGAAGGCAAAAGGAGAAGGGGATGGCAGAGAATAAGATGGGTAGATAGTGTCATGGAAACAACGAACATGAACTTGGACAGACTTCAAGAGACAATGGAGGATAGAAGGGCCTGGCATGCTATGGTCCAAGGGGTCACGAATAGTCGGACATAACTGAAGGACCAAACAACATCGAAATGCCCACCTCTAATAATCTGACCAGCTCATGCCTGGTTTCCATTTCCCAAAGAGAAACACAGATTAATGAAGCCCTCTGCTGTCCTGGAAAAACACAGAAAAGTGTTTGGAAAAGTACCATGAAAAAGTACTATTCTCTAGATCTAGACCAAAACGGGAATGTTTCATGGGAAATCCACCAACTCAGTCAACCAGACAACGGGAAGCAGAACCCCAACTTTGCCACTGAAGAGTACCCATGTCATACAGACCTACAAGCACCCCAACAGGGAAGCCTGCCAATGTTTTCAGACCATAATAACCTGCCTACCTTAAGTTGAGGCAAGTGGCCAAAACCAGCGCACCAGCATCAAGGCATCCCTGCCTCCATGGTGAGAGTAGGAAGGAATAGAAAGTGGAGTGAGAAGGGATAAGGGGAGTCAATTGATGAGAACTTGCCCCATCTCTCTAAGTAAAACTATTTCTCTTCTTTCTTTTTGCCTCTGTTGCCTTTTATGCTTTCTCTGCCCCATCATGTTCCACCAGCCACTTCCAATGAGCATGCTTGAACTGGGGCTTGGATCCCACCAGGTTATTCCGTTTTCTTCCTGCATCTCTAGTACTGTGTCTCTGTTGTCATCCAGGCATCACAAACAAATAAATACAATGTATGAGAGTGAAGATGGAAGGAGAGTACTCCTACCTGGCGTGTTTCGTCAATAGCCTTGATATGTCACAAAGCAGAAAAGATTAAACATTAAGGGTAAGGATGGGGAGAGGACTAACAAGATATTGTGTCCTTGTCTCATCTACCTTGGATGCATTAGCTATTGAACTAGTGTGGCAAAGGAGAAAAGGCACTGGCTATGGAGTAAGAGATCCCAGGTTCAAATCCTGACTCTGCAATTTACTCCAATTTACTGCATAAATTGGGCAAGTAACTTATCCTCTTTGGTCCTTAGCTCCCTCATCTATAAAATGAGGGAGTTGGATTTGATAAGCTCTAAGGTCCCTTCCAAATCAAGATCTACAATTCAAAGACAATCCTCTCTGACACATCTAGGTCTTCCCTACTCCAACATTCTGTCCGCCATGCCATGCTTCCTCAGTAGAGTTTCTATTTCCTGCTGGATTAAAAAAAAATAAACTTTTTTAAAAGAAATCATGGAATACTGCAAGGAGCACTGAACTAACTAAGAGTTAGGAGATGTGAATTTTAGCCTCAGCTCTGCCATGAATGTGCCCTTTGACATTGGACAAATCACTTCCCTCCTTCAGACCATGGTTTCCATGTCTGTAAAATGAAGCGTATGTCCAAAATGGCTTCTGACTTCTCTTCCAGCTCTAATATCCTATCACATCATGGTGAGTGACAGAAAACATGCAGCTGTGTTATCTGATGGGTGAGACACTTTGAATGGCAGAAGTGAACCAGAGACTGCCAACAGACTTGCAAAGATTGACTTAGCTAGACTCTATGCCTTGGCATCCTCCAAAAGCATTTGCTGGCTTAGTAGACAAGACGGCAGCGAGTGTACAACATAAACAAGGATAGGAAAATCAAAGCCATTTTCCTTTGAGTTGAAATCTCCCCCATGACCTTGCCAAATGAGGCCAGTTTAAATAAATACAATAAATGTTTTCCCCAGACAGACACACTCCTGAAGAAAAGAGAGGAGACCTAAAGATATGCTGACCAAGCAAGTTAACAGGAGTAAATTAAACACAAAGGAAATAGACTAGCTGTCTTAAGTGGCTTTTGTGGATAGTTGGAGACATTCAGAAAAAAGTAAGTTAAACAAGAGACTCCTAGAATTGGTGCTGGAGGATACGTGTTTTAAAAACAATTCATCATTGCATGGAGCCTCATGGTGATTTGACATGAATGAGATTTCAAGGATTGTGACTATTTGAGAAAGGAGATGTTTAAGTCCAATAATGAACAACGTAGGAAAGTGGCCGAACAAACCTCTAGTTATCCACCCCCAATTCAGAGAAGCAAAATATTTTGCAAACCTTAAAGTATTCTGAAATGAGTCATTATTATTAACCTATGTATCCCTTTTAAAATCTTCCTCCATATGAAATACAGCAAATAAGTGGTCTAATAACTGGTTTAGGGGTAAGTAACCAGAAGGAGTGACAAAGGGGAGGCAGCATAGTACAACAAAAAGATTATTGTCTTTGGAGTCAAAAACCTAGGTTTGAATCTTTCTTCTGAGAGTCTGTGTGACCCTGGATAAATCACCAGGTCTCAGTTGCAATCCTCTCGAAGAGGACCAGTGACATCATGAGGCAATGTCTTGACTTGCTCATGAATCGGATTTAAGTAAGGTGGAGTTGGGCGAAGTTGTCTGCCTTACTCTCCCTCCAGGGTCATCAAAGTCCTCGGGGTTGTAGTGGATGGCTTCTGAGGTCTCTTTCGGCTCTAGTGCTATGAACCTATGACGAAAATAATGGAAATGAAATAACATATGTATGTATATATGTGTGTGATGTGTGTATATACACATATACATTTCTTTAAGTTTTATAAAGCCCTTTCCTCCACACCAATCCAGCAAGGTATGCACTACAGTTATTATTATTCCACATTTTAAAGATGAGTTTACCTCATTGCCCAAATTCTGTGTCTATCCAAAGCATAGAGATAGATACATAGCTAATAACATATCTATATATATGCTAATGAATAAGATCTATAGAATGCTCATCCTATTATACTGAGTGCAGCCTCTGAGGCTAAGAGGCAACAAAGTAAGAATCCATTGATTCTCTGCCACTTTGCTAATTCTGGCCTGACAACACCAAGAAAACAGGTTCTTCACCAGCCAGCACCACACCATCCATCCATGGAACCACCGGTTATAGCAAAAGGCAGTTTTTCCGATGAACAAATGGAGAAATTTTGAGCACTGTGGATAAGTTCACTGACCTTGGCAGAATACTTTCCAGGGATGTACACATGGATAATAAGGTTAACACATGTATTGCCAGAGTTAGCTCAGTGTTTGGGAGGCTCCAAAGGAAAGTGTGGGAGAGAA